TAGCAGCGGTATGAAAGTTGTGGTTATTCGTACTTGGTGGGCTAAAGTCGCGGGGATGATTGTTGGTAGGGTTGATATGCTCGGGTTCTTGCGGGACAGGGCGACCTGGGATGGGACCTGTGAAGGGGATGTCGTGGGAATTTGTGGGCGCAAATTCCCATGTTGCGCCGTTTGCTGCTTGCTGTGGTCGTTGTTGTGGAGGTGATCGTGCTTGGCGAGGGACTGCGCCCATGCTGACTGGGGGTTGATTGTTGTTGGTCTGTGGTAAGGTGGAGCGGTTGCGTTTTTGACGCCTGCGTCTTAGGATGAAGAACAATATGGCTGCGATGATAGCTGCGCCAACGACTGCAACGGGAACCGCGATAGCGATGGTCTGGTTGTTGCTGCTAGAACTGCCAGAGCTGCTGGTGCTTTTGACAGCTGTAGAGGTGGAGGTACTCGAGGAGGTTGAGGATGAATGGGTTGCAGTTGCGGTGGTAGTGGTGAGTTGTGAGCTTGACTCACTAGTGGTGATCGGAGTCCATTGCTGGGTGGTGGTCCTGGTGGTTTCTCCAGGATAATACTTTGCTGTCGTAGTGTGCTCCGATCCCCATGGGTCCTGCGTGGTGAATTCTGATTCCCCGCCAGGGTTGTAGTTAGAGCCTCCGCCTATGCCGGCCATTTTGCCAATGCTCAAATTTTGTTCTCGACTGGTTTTATCCCGCCTACGTGGTGGTGCAGAACAATGGGGGCTTTATATGTGCGTCGTGCCGGGGTACAAAGGAAGGTGGGCAGTGGTGATAAATCTTAAGGAATGTAGTGGCCCTACACAAGGGCGATCTTTCATTGAACAAGGTGGGATATGCCGGACTCGACTATAGCCATGATTAAACAATGGAACACCTGAGATTCACGTATGAGCATGGACCTACCACATGGGAGCCCTCAGGCTGATTCTGCAGGCTTCTGTTGAGAAAGATTCCTATACTAATGTACGTCGGGAACACCCAGACATGCCAGTCACAGAGCAAACAAAGAGCCTATACGCGCCTATGCGTATGTGAGAAATGAGAATATACGGGGAGAAATAAAAGAAAAGCACGGATCCTGCCCGGGAAATAAAGATGGGGAAAGAAAACTGCCCAAGCTAACACAAAGGAAGGCTGACATGGCGCAGCAGCTCCTAGTGAAGGACTACTGAGGGCACCAAGTATAGATTCGGACGGAGGGTCGCTCACTGCCAATCAGCAGTGAAGTTGGCGGCACAGCACGAAGCGCTGCCCACCATCCAGGACGACACGCATGCATCTCGCATCCGTTAGTCAACAGAGACGAAACAACGGACAAGCCTCTCCTCCCCGAGGCTCAGTTAGTACGGAGTAACTAATTACGATAGGCGCCGACATTGACAGGTTGTTTAGTCTGGGAGGGGGGTTCCATCTAGCGCTGTCGTGGACCGGGACCGTTTATATATCTGCCCTATGAGATAACAAAGACAAGGCGCCTAGCAGGCATCCAAACAATAATTTTCTTTGGCCGCGAGGTGGGATGGTGCTCATAGGGCCGCGAATTTGGTAGCCCTGAGAGGGAGTGACTTAGCTCCAATCATCGGCCCGTTAGTCTGATCGACGCATTAGTTCGTCGCGTTAAGAGACCGGAGACGTAGCAGCGTTGCGTGGCCCCGACATGGGGGCCAAAGGATCCTTGACCGTCGCAGACAGCCAGTTATACTGCGGCCGAAGGAGACCCCGGGGATGATATGTGATCATCGCATACCCCGGATGACCAGCCGGTGTGTCTGGGACGAAAATAACTTACTTATGCAGTTGAAGTATGTAAGAAGAGTAAGCAGGAGCAATGCATGACTTGAAGCAGTTCGTAAATCCAGCGAATGAACATCACATGACCCCGGAAATTGGAGATGGCCGGATCCGGTTAGGCGCGGGGTGGAGTGCGGACCGCCCGCTCAAAAGGGACTAGTGTCACGGCACTGCCTCGCTCTTCTTATCTCTCCGGTCCCGGTCGGATCGGCGTCATTGCAACTACCTAAGTACTCCACTGAAACAACTTATTTGCTGGTTCAACGCCGCTGTTACAGATCATGAGTGGACTCAAGGGGGTAATGAAAGAGGGCTGGCACCCTAAGGGTAAAGATGGGAAGAAGGAAAGTTGGAGGAATGACTTCAAAGGCATAAATCAAGTGGTTAGTGTCTTCCACCCCCGGCTCCAACTAGGCCACTAGCTGATGTGAAATTACCTCATTCTAGGCAGGATGGATGGGGAAGGGGAAAGACAACACCAACGATCGTGAAGAGCATGTTTCGGCACCTCTTTCTTCGCTCAAGGACCCAGCATCTTTTGGACCACCGCCGAAGCATATCAAATATCATGGCGCTGCCGCTCTGCCGAATGAGACAACGCCGGATCGGAGAGGATTAGGTGCCCCGTTGCCACAAGAACAGATAGATCGTCAAAATGCTCAAATGCAAGAGCAGCAGCAACAAATGCAAATGCAGGAGGAGGCTGCTCAGAAACCAGCACCCCCACCGCTGCCATATCGTGCGAACCGGACGGGTCTGGACACCTCTAACCTTCCGCCGCCCCCAGTCAGACGCATGGGTTCTCCAGCAGATTCCATACCACCCCCCAGTTCCAGACCCAAACCCAATCTTCCGCCGCGACTTCCTTCTCGCAACAATTCGACTCCATCCCCGCACCCGCCTACCCCACCCCCAGCTTACTCTCCCCATTCTCAGACGCCTTCGCATGCCGAAGAATACATAAACCAAGGCGCTGCTTCCCGCCTTTCCCAAGCTGGTGTGTCAGTACCTGCACTTGGAATAGGAAATAATGCCGGTCAATGGGGAAGAGATAGCAGTTCTCCCGGTACTGCGTCCCCAGCAATTGCAGGCTCCGTCGGTCAAGCACCGGTGAACGAATTGCAATCCCGTTTCTCGCAATTGAGGACCACCTCCTCGAGCTCTCCTGCTCCTCCCCCGCCGCCAGCACGAACTTATACCAATGGCAGCACGGCCCAGTCTGTATCTAGCCCGGAGCCCAGAAGTGGCTCTTCTACAGTCAGTGAATTTCGAGAGCGACATAACGACAAGATCCAAGCGGGGAAACAGAAGCTGAATGGGCTGAACGAGAAGTACGGGATATCCCAGCGAGTCAACAAGTTTTTTGACGACCAGAAGACTCCAAGCACTCAAGCACCTCCGGTGCCACCTCACCCGAATGCAAATAGTTCGACATCCAGTGTTGACACGGATGCATTGAGTAAAAGAAAGGCTCCGCCGCCGCCACCTCCTCCAAAGAAGGCGGGGATGCGTTCAACGCCTGTCGCCGGGTCAGCCCCGACGCCACCGCCTCTTCCTTTGAACACCAAGCCCCGTTGAGCGGAGGTCTTGACTGATGTGTTAGCAGTCCGCTTGGCTCATTGATGGGTCATGTATCATTAGTATATATATATCGTTGCATAGCCATGTCACACTGTATACCGTCTATTATTACTATAACTGTCCTGGCATTATCGGGTGACAGAGTAGCACCCTGCCAACTACCGATTGCCAGGCTCTACGAAATGAAACTCTTCTGGTTCCACCCAGCAGTGTTCAGAGAAGGCCACCACCCCCTCTACCAGATCGATCGTCCAAGCACGCAGCTAAGCCATCCATCTCCTGAACAAGCACACTCCGATCATCACATTTCCGAGCGGTATCAAAGTCAATCAACGTAGCTTTCCCACCACCGATAAGAAAATTAAATGGATTCGTATCCCCATGACAAACCCCCAGATCATGAAGCCGCCGCAATACCTCCCTGCAGCTCTCAACATCCTGAATCCCAGCATGCCGTGCATCTCTTATATATTCAATCAGAAACCCAATCACGCGTCCACTCTCCGTAACGTGACCAAGGAACCCAGGCCCAATACCATGACCCGATATCCACTGATACGCCGTAGTTTCATTTCCAATGTACTGGACCTCCCAGGGAAACCGCGCGAACTTGGCGACGACAACAACATTATCATACTGTGGACATTTGACTTTATAAATCCCCGTCCGTAATTTCTTCTCCACCGAAAGATCCAAGTAGTCGACATGAGTCTCATGCCAGATGTCTTGGACTCCGGGGAACTGGGTCAATTTGATGGATGTAAAGCACGGTTGATTATCGTTTGCGTCTCGGGAAATCAAGCCTTCGTTCCAATCCCCAAGGGGAAAATCCGGTAACATGGAGACTAGAGACGGAGCGAAACACATATCCTCTGTGCTGTAGATACCGGGTTCAACGGTGATGTACTTGATGGACTGGCCGTTGACTAAGAGGCGGAAGAAGCTTTGGTCATTCTCGTCCACTTCGGCTTGGAGGAGTTCGATTTGCTGTTGATTGGCCATGTTGGAAAGGATGGAATATGAGTATAAGGCTATGGTGTTGTAGTTTTTTGGGTGTGGCAGTGAAGCAAAAGTGAACTATGGTTGGCTTTATCTTAAGATGGGCGGTTGAAGGAAGGCTCCGATTTGATGTACGGTGCTCGGACCTTTGTGCGTTGTTACATCGACTTTGGATCATTAGTCGGGCGCTTATATTCATTGCTGTCTATTTGGAGGCAGGGTGTTCTCTTTATTTCGTAATTGTGTATATTCTTTGTAAGAGGCGTATCTCTTTCAGGTTGGGCGGGCTAAGGAGGTATTAATCACGCATATGAACAAATTGCCCCATATTTGAAGACGCCGCTCAATAGAAGCTTGGTAATAACTTCATTTCTCCAGCTACTACAATCCAGACTTTTTTAACTGAATAAAAGAGAGACTTACCAAAGCAGTCTAGATGTATGTATGGTTCTGCTGTTCTGTATCTGAAGGGCATTCGCACCGGGTGATCTGGAAATCTTTATAGATTAATCACATTGGCGGTTGTACCAGCTGTGGATACTATTACAGACATACTACTAAGCTAGCTTAGCTGTAAGGCTTTAGCCCTAGGAACACTTCTGATTATACTGGTCAACTAGGTTACCGTGCTCGCCTATTATATTTAGGGTTTATGCGTGTACAAAACGCGATCTTCTGATAATAATAGGAGTTAACGTTGGAGAGCTCTTGGTTGATGTCGCGCAGTGAGTCTAGTAGTCCGGAGGATGCGCTTCTATCTTCGAGGACTCCGGGTTGAGTGCTCAGGCGTGCTAATCGATGGGCAGGCAGTTGGAGATAATCTGTTAAGCTGGGCATCGGAGGAACAGCACTATCTGGAGTCCACAATGGTGGAATGACATTCTCCTGCGAGTTATCATGCGGGATTGGGAAGCTGAAGATATCGAACATGTTCCATTCACCAATGGATGGTGGTCCTGATGGCGGCGGTACCTCTGCTATCCCGACAGTAGCAGTAGCAGCAGCAGGAGTAGGAGCGACAGTGCTGCCAGGTTTGGAGTAAACAAGTTCTCGCTCATATGGCGAACGACCGTTCTCTCCTGGTGTCATTTCTGATTTATTAGATGCTCGTTTGCGACGTTTCACCCGCGCATTAGGTTCAGACTCGGCAGTAGTCCTTGTTGGACGACCGCTCCGTGATGGAGGACTCCATATGCACAGCCGATTCAGACGCTGGCAGTAGCGGATAAGTATTCTATGTTCATTTGTTGAGAACACAACGGTCTATAAGACGAAACTTGTCATAATGGGGATGAAGCAGAGAAACGAAGCAGGATCGGTTATCCAAACCCCTGCTCTTCTCCACTATCATTATTTGTGTATGCCGTCTGTTAGACAATTACTCTAGATATGGGGGTTAATCATTTAGCATACACACTGGATCTCTGCCTAATGGATTATGCTACTTGGTTTCACTGAATGGGCTTATCACGTAGCATTCATTTATGTTGCATGTCAATCTATACCCAGAGTATGTACAAAAAAATAGCTTATACTATATATACATCCATCATCTATCGACCCTTGCCGAAATCGGGCTGGTAGGCCTTGACCTTACCCTTGGACAGCTCCCTCAAAGCCATGGTGGCATACTGGCTCGATCCAAGCTGGAACTTGAGCACAATGGCAAGCTTCTCCTGCACATTGGAGGATGGTGTCGCTTCACCAGGGGTTTCAGTTTCAGTCTTCTTGCCTTGGAGCTTCTCCAAGTCGGTCTGAACGAACTGCTCATCATCCTGGCTATACACGTGCACATCGAAGGAGAAGTCGGGTCCGGGACGGTTGAGCAGCTTGCGGTAGCTACCGGTGAGACTGACCTCCCTCCACTTGCGACGCATGTCGAAGGGGTCGAGACCGCCACCCTGGGCACTGCCCATGAACTGTTTGTAGAAGTCCGTCATCTTGTTGGACGGGTAGAGGACATCGTAGCCGGGCTGGGTCAAAACGACATCAAAGATGCTGTACTTGCCGCTAGCTGCCTCCTCCGCCGTCAAGGCCCGCGCACGGGTGATTCCTTCAGAGACGTAGGCGCTGTCTCCCGCCTGCGGGGTGATGATGACTTCGCCATCGGCGTCAACCTCGCCCGCAGCGGCAGCTGCTCCGGCGTCGTCCTTGTCGCTGTGCTCATGCACCAGTACGAGATCACCTTCGACAACCTTGTCGCCGTACAAGCGCCAGCGCTCACCGGCGGCAAAGTTCCACACCAAGGACTGGTAGGCGTGGACATACATCAATCGCAGATTACGAGGAATGGCTTGGAGAGCACCAAGGTAATCGTTCTGGGCACGGCTGAGTTGACGCATGACGGTGGATTCCGCAGCGAATTTACGAGGAAGCTTCTCGAGAGCCTTGTTGGCGTTTCCGGTAGTTTCGAAAATGTGGATTGCCTCTGCGCGGGCCTTGTCGTCGGAGCTGACCATGGCAGTTGAGTTCTCGCCCTCCTGAGCGGCAGCCAGAGCATGAGGGCTGTACTGGAGGATAGCATCGCAGGCGCCCTTGAAGTCGCCCTGGAGCATCTTGACGCCGACTGTGTCTGTGCGTGTAGCGAAAGTACCGAAACGTTGCAGACCAAAGTAGTTGAAGTAGCCACGCTCGCGGAGATTCCGTAGTGCGGTGCCCACGACGTCCTTTGCCTTGGCAATGGCAGCCTCGCGGTCGCTGAAGTCAACACCCGGAATATCGCACTCACGGAGACTGATGACGAATTCGTTACCATTCAGATCTCCCAGATCAAGGCCATGTTTGCAATGTTCGAAATCGCCAAGAGCAGCATTGCGGAGCGTAGGGTTGATCTTTGCGAGGCGCTCAGCATGCAAACGGTGCGCACAGGCTCTCTGAACAGTAACACCGCGGCGGTCCTTGGTTCCGGCGAACTGGAAGTTCTTCGTGTTAATCTTCAGCTGCCGCGAGATGAACGAGAGGACTTCCATGGTATCCTTGTTCTCCTTGTACAGAGTGAAGTGCAGATAGGGACCACCCAGCTCATCCCAATTGACCGGCACGCGGGGGCGTGCATTGTTACGTCCACCCTGCGCACTGCGGTTGTTCCGGTTTGGCGCAGCAGAAATAACCATCATTCCTTCGCCATCGGTTTGAGACTCGAGTTGCGATTTGAAGATGCGACGGATGGCCTGGTGCATCTTAATGCGCAGGTCACGGTCATCGACAACGAGAGTGGGAATCTTGGGCAGGTCGCTCGGCTTCGATTTGGGATTGAGGACGGCACGCTTGTTCAGCGATACAATCTTCTTGGTGGATTCTTCGCCGAACAGGGATTCCAGGAGAGCCATGTCTTCCTCGGGGATCTGGAACTCCGGCGTATTCTCCGCGCTTGGCGCAGCATCCTTCTCTGCAGATCCTTCTGGCTTCTCCTGCTGGTCATTCTCTGCGGGTTTGGGCGCGGGAGTTTCCGCGGGCTTAGCCTTCTCCTGTTCTGCTTCCGGGGTGGGGATATTGTGTAGATGCAGGACTTCGCCGGATGGTACGATCTCGTTGACAAGGAAGTCGGTATATCTAGTAGAAGAGGTCGGTAAGCGCCTGTATATTAACAGAATTTAGACTGCAATTACCTCTTCTTCAGGATGCCATAGAATCCTTCATTGTCACCACTGACAAACTCGGTGATTCCAACCTCGAGTTCTCTCGCCTCCTCCGCGGAGAGTTTGGCTGCGTCCGATGGCGCAATTGCCTCGTTGGAGGAAGGAAGCGCAGCATCCTCGGTGATAGGAGTGTTATCAGTCTTGAGCCGCTTGCGCGGCGACTCAACAATATCGGCACCTTCCATAGTAACGGTGGCAGTGATGTGAAACTGTAGTAGTTGCAGCACCTAAAGTCATGAGCGGCTCCAGTCTGGAAAAGTTACCGTCACGTTTTTGCTGCTCCGCATTGGGCTAGAGTGGGGCTAGCCCTAGTGTGGTCGAATGAGGAAGTCTGTTTACATGATCTGAACTATACGACTGACATACCTTCATTCAATATCCTTCAACAATTGCAGCAAATTTACCAAGATGATATGCATGAAAATTTACGGAGTTCTCCCCTACTTAATCTGTCTTCTTATCTAATTATTTACGTATATATTATACTTATTTCTCCAACCACTCAGCCTGTCTATTGCCTCTGGTGTCGATTAGAAGTATGCAGATAGAACCTTTCGATTCCCAAATCTGGCATGAGAGTAGCCTTGCGTCACCCATATTTTGGTCATATATCCAGATATCGGGATATGATAGGTCTCCCACAGTACATCCATATCGACAAGACATGCAGCTATGCAGATGCCCAAAGGTGTGCTTTGGAGGATACCTCATCAACAGTATATATGAGCATATTTATAATTCTTTTAATTCTGCCGCAGATCCACACAAGTGGCCCTTGTGGCGCAATCGGTAGCGCGTAAGACTTGCAAGTACCCCCGACCACGCCTTAAACCAGACCTCCCTACTAACTGTCTATGAAGCTACTCTGAGATCTTAAGGCTGTGGGTTCGATCCCCACCAGGGGCTTTCAATTTTTTTTAGGCATTCGGGTGCTATAGTGGGGATTTTTTGTATACTCTGAAGATATTCTGACCAGAGGGGGCCTGGTCTGTTTTTAAAACAGAAATTACGTGGGTAAATCCTGTGATTTTGACTCAATTACAGTAGATGACTAGAGATACGGAGCATGAGCAGTGAACTGAGGAGATGTGTCAGGGTATTCGGCGGCATGGTTCCATTCAGGCATCTCCTCAAAAGTTCTCTATATCAAGTACGTAAAGGGTTCTCGCAGGATTTGGAGATTTCTCCGTAGGGCTGATCTGCACATCTGCTCTGCGGTTTAACCTGCAAGGATGTGGGTTGTGAGGATCCGGCTCTTATGCCTCTATGTATGATGATACAACATGATAAGCATAGCTCTTTTGAGTATATGCAGTATATCAAGAAAAGGACGGAGTGCGTCACTCAGCTATATGGGTGGACACATGCACACTGGAATAAGACTTTGCTACTACATACCACAGACTACCTACATCTCTTGTCATGCGAGTATTGTCAGACCTCAAACCGATACTCCTGGGGATCCCTCAGAAACAAAGGGACAACATAGGTGTTAGTACATGCTGCCTAGAACCACAATATGGCCACCAAGACACGGAGCCTTAGCACTACAGCTTTACCTCTAAAATCAGGGAAAAGATGTTCTAGGCCCATTTACTGTTAGCAGCAGGTGTATTATCAAGTCACCATCTACGGCAAATCCCGACCAAGCTCGACCAGACGGGTCATTTTACGTGCAGAAGACCACAACAAGATCCATTATTGGCCTACCAGCCTAGTATAGCATCCATTAGGCACTTCAGGCTCATGCATAGGCACCCATATGCAATCCAGGCTTCTCAGTGAGAGCCCTATGGAGACTCCCGCAACAACAGCAATTACACATCTCCAATTCCCATTCCCACCATAAACCCCAACCTACTCCCCTCCCCATATAAAACCCCTATAAAACGCATTCTACCACCACCAAACACCCCACCTCAGGGTCCTTCACCCCCCTGCTCAGCAGGCCCAGGATAAAAATAAACAATCAAATATGGACACCCTCCTCTACCCCACCCTCCTTCACGACCTCCATCCCCACCTCGACATGAGCCACTGGCCAACCCTCGACCATCACCTCTACCCCTTCTACCCATCCACTTCTCTCCCTCCCCCGTTCCCCCAAACCACCCACAATGACCCCATCCTCGCCCGACGCCTCCACCTCAAAGAATCCGGAATAACCTTCGAATACTACAAGAAACTCTTCTACACACCGCTGGACAACCTCATCCTCATAACCATCGGGTTCACACTCGAGACTCTCCTCACGAACATGCCCGAATGCGATACTCTCGCCCACACCCCAATCAACAGACACCATCCGCACTGCATCTTCGCCATCCTGCGATCCGCGAAGCAGCATCTAGCACACGCTCTCCGGACGGGGAGTTTCGCTAATAAGGCGATTAATCGGTCTAAGTATCATGTGCTGTGTAAGGTTGCAGCGAGGGGGGATACCGCGCAGGAGATCTTTGGGAATTTGTTGGGGGATCTTGATAAGGTGGTGTTGGAGTTGGAGGGCGGGTTTAGGGAGGTAAGGTTCTTTCCTTATAGGAGGGATGGGGATGGGGGGAGGTTGGAGATTTTCTTTTATGAGCCCGGGGAGCCGATTGTTGGGTGGAGGTCGAGGGGGTTGAGGGTTTGGGAGGAGGGGGGGAGTGGTGAGGTTCATGGGTAGTTGGGGGGAGAGGGGAGAGGGTAGTAGGGCTGATTGGGGTGGGGTGGGTGTGTTGGAAGGTGAATTGAGAGAGGTTTCTCTCTCTCTCATTTTTTAATAGCATGATCAAATATTATATCGAGTGTCTAATCTCTATGCTTAATCTAATCATGAATGCTTGTGGTCATCACGCTGTGCATCAATGCAAATAAGCCAGAACAGAACGCCGTAGCCGTGGAGGTGTTGCGGCCTCGCACATATGTAATGTTAACCCTGATGCAATCTGTGTACTGTCTCCAACATACCAGAAATGAACATTAATAGGGCATCGCTTTCGTTTGAATGTTGTCGGTTTGAGTTGTTGGTCTGGAGACCAAGTCAATCCGCGCAGGGATTAATCAATCACAATCACTCGATCCCGCATAGTCAGGCAATCCGTTGGCTCTACATTGCCACCTGACCATGCGGTCCTGATAGCCTGGACCATCTCCTTTGACGCTTGACGAGCTTCACCGCGCGTCTTCCCCGCCTTCAGGAGTGCTTCATAGCTGGTATGGGTGTGTCTGATATGAGCCTCTACGGCTAACTTGGCTTTGTCTTGATCCGATAATCTGGATGTCCGGCCCACGCGGCCAGAGCCCTTCAGAAAGGCATGTTCGAGAACAGTGTCCAGTGACTCCTCGGGCATTAAAGGAAACTGGGCGCGTAAGAGTTGACGGGCTTGCGCATAATCTTTCTCATCACGTACTTGAACAGCTTGAGCGCGAGACTGAGCTGTTTCGTCCGCTAACCGGAGGACGGCAGTGTGAACATCGGCCGGAACACGTAGGCCAAGAGTGCTCTTGCCTCTATCATCCTGTGAAAGGGTTAGGAAATGGGTACAAAGAAGCTGCTAGTAGTAGAATGATTTGGGTTTGTATCCTCACATAAACCACGTAGACAATTCGGCCAGACTCCTTTGTCAGTTTTCGGCAATTGCGAGTAATGTAGATGTCGCCCTTGGGGACAAATCGGTAGTTTGCAGGGGATGGATCCCGTCTAAAACAGTTCTGTCCACGACTCGGGTGTCAGTATGTATTTAGTGATTGGTACCCCGAGTTGGCGCTAGGATATGCAGGCAATGCAAGGATCAAGGCTGGGTGATCGGGATCCCTGCTACAACACCGGGAACACTACTGATAACTATCAAGGGCAGAAGAGAAGCCCGAAGCAGGTCTCTCGGTTTTTGTCATCACTCACCTTTTCTCTTGGCTCGGTCGACAGTGGAAGGAGATTCAGACTGAATGGTCTCCCTGGTTTACTCCTGCGCTCCGTAAGTTTTGTCTTGCTGCTGCTGACCACGTCGCCGCGATCACGTTTCTTCACGGCGCTGTTCTTTCGAGTCTGAGCCAGGATAGACAGGGGCGATCTCGGGGTGATCTTCCGTTTCCCACGCCGCCTTCTGGCGGCCCCTGAGTGGGAGGCTTTCTTTGGCGTGGGCGACATTATCTCCGATCTTTTTGAGAGGGAAAGGCCATTCAGATAAGAGTCTGAGTAAGGACTAGGCAAGACACGATCCAAATCTGATTCTTATTGTATACTTGGAATCTGACGCTGCACTAAGGCTACTGCTGCTCTGCTTGTATGGAATAACGGCGAGGCGTGTAGGAGAGGAAACTGAATAGGTGCTTGCAGATGGTAATTCTTATGGGTCGGGATAGTGAAAGGAACGTTCATTCATAGTCAAAGAACGACGGCCCAGCTGTCCTTCTCTTTATGTATAACAACCCATGCGGGTTGAGTTGGTTATGCCTTGTAGCAAATGGTTGTTAATGATTGTGGTTATGGCTGAAAGAAAGGCTGGTTACTGATGCCCAATGGCCAAAGAGTGATTTGACACAGCACAATGGATGGATTGGATGGATGAATCCACTCACTTTCCTCTTCTCGGCGGGCGGTGGATCTTGGCGGGGTTGTGGCTGGTGTGTGGCGCGGCATTCACAGCCTGCAGTTTCAGGTATCAAGTATGAGTAGATCCTCGAGTAGTCGCATGTATCATTTCGGGGTCTCAAGTATACTCTATATATGGTATACAATAATAACTTCATCAGTTATATAATCCCTTCATCTCACACTATTTATGGGAATGGCCGTCTTCTTATCCTGTGAAAGGCTCTTTTATGGAGGCGAAACAGAGTATCTACAGTATGCCACTCAGCATGGGCTACAGAAAGCACAACTGTTCTTTAATAAGAGCCTCGGTTACGGAGTACTCCGCACGATGAAGTTACCAGTCGTCACTATCGGTCTATACTGGCAGCACTTGTATGAACTATCATCAGCCCTTCTGCTTTATGCATTCGCTGCATACTACTTTACGAATCTCCTGCAGGATCGATCGCACTGACTCTGCAAAGCACCCGCTCCAGGCCCATATCCCCATGGTAACAACCCTACATGTAAACGGCAATATCCGCACAATAATTGCCATTTTCGCAGTCGGTGTATGAAGCTGCACATTATGTGCATCTGATCCGCAGATATTGATCGATGATTATGCTCCGCCGGCATTCCAGTCAGGTCATCCGCCCACGGCCCGGATCTTACACATCGTGAAGAGCAAGAAATTGCTATAGATAGATCTATGGTGCAGCTTAGGTATGCAGTCCTCAGAGCCATGTGCACTCACATCTCACTTTGGCTGCACAAGAGATAAGAACCCCGGCTGTCTGTCCAGGAATTTCTTGCACGGGGTGAAAGCAAAGCAAAACCTTTTTGTAATTAGAGGAAGGGTGAGCCAAACATCACCCTGGCCAGTGCTGCTCCTTACTGATGTCTCCAACCTTATTCCAGCCAAGGTGTGCCTGACGAGCTGCGAGATGGACAGGCTGGCAGGACACTAAGCCGGTGCTGCATCAACCATCATGTCAGGGGCTTCCTCGAAAACTGAAATCATAGATGCTCAATGGAGGGAGAGAGGAGAGACTACTGCGGGTTACACCGCAGGGCGTCTAACTACTGCTGCAGGTCCCGTCGCTCGCGTGCAGCAGCTCTTACTGGTTCAGCCCCGATGGCCTGAGAGTGGTTGTTTGCTGACTTGTAAAGGGGGGAGGGACTCCAGACAGCAAGTCATCGTTGGTGGATGCTTGGAGCCTATCGGAAACGGCTTCCATCTCAGTCGGCTGGATTAGCATCGGCAGAGCAGATCAATGCCCGCAGAACATAGAAAAAAGATCATAATAATATTGAATAATAGTAGGGTTAGTTCGGGACGGAGTAAGTATGTAACTGCGAATCAACTCAATCTGGGTTCGGAAGTAGTGGACGGCATTACCCATTGAAGACTGGAGTGTAGTACTTTAGTTTAACCGATCGGGGAGAATTCCGCCCCTACCATAGGCTCTCCCCTTTCCAATAGTGCTCGACCAATGATGTTCGCCAGAGACTAAAGCATTGATCTCTTTTTCTTGTTGCTAAACGAGTTACGGCAGGCATTAGAATCCTCCGTCCAGGAGAACCGATAGATAGTATGATTGCAGATAGTTGTCATTACCTAGTACTTAGTCTAGACTCGCGTTGGGTCGCCTCACGTCCCCTCTTTTCGTGGCCCAATGAATGAACCACCGGGCGGGTCGCGGTGAATCTCCTTAATCGGGTAATATTACTTTCGGGGACGGAAGCTCACCCTACCCTTTTGCCCTGCCCAGTATCCATTCTAGCTACCACTTACTCTTACTGGTACTAGTATCCATGAAAGAAGATACTTCCCTCGCGGGCTGAAACATCTGCTCCCCAGGAAATAGACTAAATTAGACAAGTCTGACTCGTTATATGTGGGAACTGGGAGGGAAAAGACTTGGAATCAGTCGAGTCTTAAATTCAACGGTTTCTGGAGACGAGCCATTTGGTATTTGGCTACGTTTTCTGTCACCTCGACTGTCCCGAAGTTTGAAGCATGGATAGCTGCAGCGGGTGTAAATAGCGTCGACATACTAGCTTCCAGACAGCTAAGTTAGGAAAGGGAGCGAGACCAGGGATTATGCCGGAGAAGACACGGAGCTGAATTGAGGAAGGAAATTGGAAATGGGTTCAAATGTCGTCATTGGGGTCGGTCCCAGGCCCAGGAGATCGTAATTACGGGGAGCTATTAATATTCCGGGCACACACATACACAGTACTAACACAGTATTAAACACAATCTTGCAAGACGTGGGATGAGATCGAGGCTGGAGCTGAAAAGAGGGCCCCCAGTGGATTGACTATTAGTGGTTAGTTTTAGTGGTGGTCGTGGCCGGAGTCGGGGGGTGGTGGTGGGAGGATGAAGGACCAGAAACCCCAGGGCGTCCGAGGGTCGTTAGTGTTGGCGGTGGTCGCAAGGCTCAATCTCCCGTCGCCCAATCCGGCCTCGATCGACGCTTTCGTAAGGGAAGGGAGGTTGACCTGCTCACATTCAAAACCTTGTCCGGGTTGATTCCTACTCCAGTAAGTACAGTATGGAGCAAAATATGGAGTAAGTGTTGACCGGTATGATTCGATCTACATACATCGGTGGTTTAGAGAGCGGTCGAGACGTGCGGCCACATTTCTGGGATCAAAGTGAAACCAAAGCCCTCGATATCTATCACCTGTGAGTGTTGACATATCGGTCACCCTCTTCAGCCAAGTGGGAAGTCTATTCGATGGCCACCCGAGGAATAATGAACAAGCCATAAGATACGGGGGAGGGAAACAATCGAAGACGGATGCAGGTCCAGAGCCCGGCGTCAGCACCAGTAAGTAACTTGACCAACCGATCACGCTGGAGACGGTGATAGATGACCCACGGAAATGGACCGCTGTTCCTTGTTCTTGGGACCGCCCGCTGGTGCCTTGGAGCGCGGTTCACTAGTCATGGATTATTATGGATACGTTCGGTGGTATACTAGTAATCTCGCGCTGAAAGGACCAGTCTCTTCCCGTCGTCTCCATTTGTCGACTATTTCAAGATGATGCCGGTGACCTCGTATACGTTTCTCCGGCATTGACGGTAAGATAATAGGTACAGTACAGTATAGCAGAGTTTGATGGGTGGATCACTGTCTATTATTCTTTACTACTATCTTATACAGTACAATCACAAGCGGAGTATACCTTCCCTAAGACTTAATTAAGTCACTACTAGCTGACTATCCCATCCGAGGTACACAGTAAACTACTAAAGAGTAGTGTGATAGTTCACTATTCTCGGAACCAGAACCATTGGAATCTGATAGAACCACCAAAGCATGATGATTAGTAGTAATCACCTCATGCTCTGTTTCATAAGAGGAAGTAAGAAAATAGCAAAGGTTATTATTCTATGTTACAATCCATTCACTTTTTGTACCCATCCGGTGCGTCATGAAAGGCTCCCCCTTCGCAGCGGGAAGGTCAAGGTGTCGGTCGTGTGCAGCGGTCCCAGTTCATCTCACCCAAGGCCCGTAGCTCCACCAGCCAAAAGTGGAGGACGATCGGGAGGAAAGGCAGAGTTAGTTGGTTGGTTAATTAGTTTGATGATGATTCGAGAGGGAACTCGATGACCAAGGACTAGATGAATACTAGAATACTATAACAAACACTATAATAATGGCGGGGGAATTAAGATGGCAGGATCAAAGACGATAATTTGGAGCAGCCTCATTTGTCACCAGCAATTGAAGGTACCAAGTCCTGGTTGCAGCAAAACCGGACCTTGACCCTCCCAGGGAACGTAGCAGTTCATAAAAAAAAAAGTCCCCAGCTGGTGGATCTGCGGATGTAAGTAAAAAGGAAAAAAGAGGGCAAAAAAACTGTCAACTTATTACCAAATTACAAACAGAGGAAAACGAAAACACAAAATTTCCCATTCGGCTTCGCTTCTTACTTTCTTCTCTTCCTCTGTCTCTTTTTTTTTCTTCCTCCTTCACAGCGAGCCGGTTGATTCTTCTCCTGGTCTCCCTTTTCTTTTTTCACTTTTGCCTGTTCACTCCTGTTTGAAGGGCAAGGTTCGGCCAAAACAAAAGAGGGAAGCATCAAAGACACAGCGTCCTAATCTAAACGCATTCCGCTCCTCCCTTTGTTCAGGAGAGCTCTGTCGTTCTTGGAACCTTCCATACTAACCAACCTAACCCAACCTTCAATCCCTCGAACCCCCAGCCTGCCTGGTCTGAGTCCATCCTCTCTATCTCCCTCCCCTCTCGACTCCTCCTCTTTCCTCCCTCTCTACCTTTTTCTTTGTCCCCTTCTCCAGATTACCAGCCCCGGTGACCTCCCGTCCTTCAGACCGGCGATAGGACTATGTGCTAGCGTCGTCCTCCCTTCGTCCAACCCCAACCTTTCCTTCGAAGGGTCAAACACTCTTGTGTCCGAACCTACAACTCCAGTCCGAACTAGCTTGGCTTCAATGACCCTGTGGAGGAGGCTCACATTCGTCGGCACAGCGATCCCTACCGAACCAACCCCTCTCCTCCAACATTCCTGACGGCCCCCGAAATATCTGGACTTCCTAC